GGATCATGTGGTGGACTTTGGGGAGCCACCATCAAGGGCCCTACCCTGCCTGGGGAGTGGAGGGTGGATGAGGTGGGGGGCAGATGAGGGGTTGGGAGGGAAGGTTTCGGGGAGGGGAGGGAGAGGGAGAAGGGATTGACATGTGAAGCAAGCCTGTTCTTAATTTGAACTAATAAAAAAAATTAGAAAAAAAGAATGAAATCCTTAAAATTATCCTTTACATATTTGATAACTTGTGATAGAGAATGTTAAAGATTTTAATATTTAACATTACTTCCTTATGATTATAACTGATATATGTATTAATCATCTTTTATGTATTCCATAAAATAGTCAATAAAATATATTTTAAACAAACAAAAAAAACCATTGTAGCTTATAGTTCCTGTTTACAATCTCATTAGTGGATTGTAAACAGGATTGTGAACAAATCCTAGCACAGTGTCTCTGTTAATTAGTAGGTTTTTATTCCTAGTTAAGGTGGTAATTCTGGAAAATCCTCCAAAAACTGAACTGGAGGGAAAGATAGCAAGGTGTCTGTATTTCACATAGCACGCCCAATAAAAACTTGAACAAGTTCGTGAACTTTTGTCTCAGACAGGAACCATGGGACCTTGCAGAGCTCACTAAGATCTGGTACACAAACTTAATGAAAATCAGGTTGCCATTCTTGGGAGAAATTGCATTTGGTAGTCCCATAAAGCTTGTAACACGCAAAACCTTCAAGGATGAACTGCAGCCTTCATTAGAATGTGAGTTCTCTCTTTCTTAAATATCTACTTTAATAAATGAGTGATTTATCATTTGCTAGTGACCACAGTACTTTTAAGTTTGTTATCCACACTGTGCTTCCCGTCTGTCCTCAGTCAAGTTGTTCATTCTTCAACAGTGTCCACCTGCTCTGTGTTTTGAGATGGTGAAAGGTGAAAATGCCACTCAGATGGCTTCATTTGTTTTACCTTTTTAGGTATCAAACTGGAAAAAGAATTTGAAATGAAACGCCTAACCACGCTGAAGAATCAGGAGCAGGCTTGTGAGGAGATTCAGGTTGCACTAAGGCAAACGAGAGTCGGTTTGAGAAGACCACTTCAACCCAAGTGACCTATTGTGTTGTTGAATCTGAACCTGTTTCTGGCAACCACAGGGATGGAGGTCTTTCTTTCATGCTGTTGAGTAGACAAGTGATGCCTATGAGTGACTGGCCAATGTTTCTCGACATGGCTTGGTGGACACTGACGGAACTCCTGGGTTCCTGCCACACTCTTGTTCTTTGTGTCACTTTACAGCAGCCCTCCCTGTAAGTAGATGAAAACTCACCTGGAGTTGAGTAGTTTTGTGTCTTTCATTTCATGCTTATAAGATGTCATGGAGAACAGTCCTCGTGAGAGGCAGCATTCTGAAGAAACATTGGGACTGTGCATCTTTGAGATCCCAAGGAGAGTTCTCAGAAAGGTGGTGAGAGAGAAGTTCTCTTAAAAAGGAGAAACTGCACATTTTCGTCTGGTTAAGAAAATGGTAGATTACATTTCAGTAACTCCACAGCTGTCACTCTTTGGTAAAGTGTCACTTACTATTCTCATGCGGCACTTTATTTTTTAATGCTTGATCATGTGGCCCTTTAAAGAGAGACTTACTCTGTTTTTGTTCTCCTGAAAAAAAATTGTCAAGTCACTTTCCTTCCAGCTAATGTTCTTTCTACAATGGACCTGGAGCAGGTGCAGTGCGTGCTCGTGAAAGGGACGTGAAGGGACAAAGAAGGCCTTATTGTGAGGAAAACTCATATTTGCAGAGTGGCTGGGGAATGAGGAATTAACTGGAAAGAACTGAATTTGTATGAACCAAGTTTTCTAGAATTTGCATACAATAAAGCGTATTTGGATAATGTTATATTTAAGCATTTTTTGTTTGTTTTTGTTTTTTTAAAGTGGTTCAACAGAGACCTTAGGATCGTCTCATCCCCTGGATTCATAGAAGGCTCTGTGACGTAGCGGTATTTAAACTCTCAGCCTTGAGCTGATGTATAACACAGCGGCAGAGTGTATGTGAGGTCTGGGTCTCCAGCACTGAGAAACAGAAAAAGAACACAGACTCTAGACTTGCTTTTCTTCAGTTATGTATAGTAATGTGACTCAGGCTGGGTGAACTCGGGGTGGGTGACTTGTCTTCAAGTCTATGTGCAAAGTGGTGATAACAATGGTAACTGGTTTATAGGGGCATCATGGGACTGGGTGAATTACCTGGGGCAAAATGAGAATTCCTCTGGTTGTTAACCACTGCTGTGGGCACAGCACCCTGTTGTATCATTATAATCTAGATGTAGAAGATGGCGTTTACCTGACTCTGTCAACCTTTGTGCAATTTTTCAGAAAATGTCTTGAAATCAGGTGTAGTATGTACACTTGCCATTCCACCATGCAGGAGGCTGGAGGGTGAGGCAGGGGGATTACGAGTTTGAGGCCATCCTGGGGTAGAGAGTGAGATCTTGAGTGTGTGTGTGTGTGTGTGTGTTCAGGTTGTGTGGCCTGTTATTTTAATATTATTATTGATGTGGGCACAGCCATGACAAGGGCCAAGGCCACAGAAATTGGCAAAGCTCTCTTCTTCCTCCGGTTCAAGTACACAAGTTTGCAGAGTATTGATTAGCATGTGCAAAAATAGAACCCTGTCCTCCTTCTGTTTACAGCCCAAGGCTGCTGCCTCCAGGGACCTGCTTCTGAGAGCAGCTAAGCTGCCCTACCATCCTGCACATAGAGGTTACCAGTTGCTTGTGTGCTGCTCCATGAGACCCCAGTTTTTGTTTTTGTTTTTTGTTTTTTGGGTTTTTTTTTTTTCAAGACAGGGTTTCTCTGTGTAGCTTTGGAGCCTGTCCTGGCAAACTCACAGAGATCTGCCTGCCTCTGCCTCCCGAGTGCTGGGATTAAAGGTGTGCGCCACCAACGCCCGGCTCCCAGTTTGTTTTTTAAAATTTTTTTATTAGAAACAAGCTTCTTTTACATGTCAATCCCAGTTCCCTCTCTGTCTCCTTCCCCTCCTCTCCCCTGGCAAACTCCCAGAGATCCGCCTGCCTCTGCCTCCCTAGTGCTGGGATTTAAGGTGTGCGCCACCAACGCCCGGGGCAGTTTGTTTTTAAAATTTTTTTTATTAGAAACAAGCTTCCTTTACATGTCAATCCCAGTTCCCTCTCTGTCTCCTTCCCCTCCTCTCTTGCTCCCCCATCCCAACCCCTTTCTGCTCCCCAGGGAGGGTGAGGCCTTCCATGGGGGATCTTAAAAATCTGTATCATTTGGGGAAGGACCTAGCCCCTCCCC